GACTTTGTTCATGTCATGCTTTGATCATTATTAACAAAGTTATGAGTGTTACTACAATAAAGTTGATAGCTTTTACCTAACTAATACCTGTTTTTCAAAGTAAATAAAAAGCTATAAATTAGAAGTAATGACTTTGGAAGATTATTTGGGAGAAATGCGATTTAAACAGTTTCACAGACCATTACGTCTTTGGCTTAGGCCTGCAAAAAAAATTGAGCAGAAAATATAATGCTCATAGACCAAAAATTACGCTATTCTTTTCGTCTTCTAAAAATTTTTAGTTTTTGTTCTTATAGGCTGTTTTTGCAGTGTGGCTGTCGATATACCCACGAAACGAAAAAAAAAATTAAAGTTCATTTTTCTTTTGTTTCAGATGGTTACAACAGGAATCGACTACTTGGTTTTTTTCCTTCAAAACATGTAAGAAGACTAATATACAAAGACAAAATTATCAATAATAAACTAATAATAATTCGTTATATTATCTTGCAATGAATTTATTTTTGTACACTTTATCTTGATTAATTCTTCGTAAAATCTAATAATTGAACGAACCATCGGTTTGAACATTATATTCTTTATCAGGTGTGAAAAATAAGCAGATTTCTAAGTTAAGAAAAAATATCTGATGCCCACAACACACAACTTTCACTTACTCTTTGAACTATGAATAAAAATTATTTTCTGGCCGTGTTAGGCTATTATAAAATGTTTTAAATTGCATTTTAAGCTGAGCTAAAGCTAAAAAAACACAAATGCTATTAAAATAACAAAAGTCCTATTTATTATATCACCGGTTGATTATGGATTGTACGATTCGTTGATTATGGATTGTTCGATCCATTGATTATGGATTGTACGACTATAAGTCATTAAACTGTTATTTTCCATTGCAAAGTTTATTAAAACGGAATTAAGAGATTTGCAGTGTCTGTCATAGACAGGTCAAAAGTTGTCACACTAATTGTAAGTGGATTCTGTTGGAATATCACAAAAAGAAGAATTATCAAACTATTCACTAATTTAATTTTCTATAAGGTTACATGATGATTTTTCGGAATAAACGGACGATAGATATCTAAATATTTAAATATATTATGAGATCTTGAGTTATTAAACTACAGTAAATATATTTAGGGTTATAAACGTATCTATGAAATATTTTTGTATTTCACTTCTTTTTTCACACAAGTACAATGAAATGGTAGAGGAATATCACAAAGAGAAGATCTATCGAATTATTCACTAATTTAGTTTTATAAAAAGTTATATGACAATATTTTGGAATTAACTTTAATACCTAATTATTTATAGAGAAATACTTTAGTAAATGTAATGCTGCCCTATGTAGTAGGTTGCTTTGTACACAGCATACTTATCAATCAATACGAACATTAATTTTATATTATATTTTTCTTTTGTTTTTCTCCCCTTCATAACAATATTCTTACAAATTATCAACAATAAGCCATATTAAACAATAGACATAGCATAATAAACACATTCCCAAAATAAATAAAAAAATTCCATTTTTCTCTTTAAATTCTCAAACGCCCCAGGAACGCAATATAACATCGCACACATATATAACACAGCAATTCCTTGAATGTAGCCAAAAAGATAAGACGATTATGGACCAATTTAAAATTTAATAAATAATTACTAAACTACAGTAAATGTATTTAATATTATAAACACATGATTTATACATCCATGAAATGATTTTATATTTTATTTCTTCTTTCACACAAGTACATTGAAATAGTTTTTTTAACAATGCCATCAACTTGCTTAGGTGGATTTTAAATACATTTAAAAAAAATTAGCATTACCTTATTTACACATTCAAAATTCAAAAACCGAAACAAAGGATATAACCATTGCAGCAGAACGTATTAAATAAAAACTAGAGACCATATCTTATCTCCTAATTATACGATTTTAACGATTTTTTTTTTGTTTTTTAGGCTATTCCATAAACTTTTAGGAAACCATCTACAACATTCCCAAAAAAGAGTATACTTTTTGAGTTATTCGGAATTTAATTTTACCACCCCTCGTAACTTTTTTTCAGCCTTTATTAACTTATCAAATTCTTTCAAAAGTTATATTTAGCATTTTTTTGTAACTCTGAATAATGCGAAATAATTATATTTTTAAAATAAACCATATTAAAGGTACTTTAGAGGAAGACGTATATGAACATTGGGCATTTAAGCCCTGTAAAGTGACATCAAGGGGGTAAGACCTAATTTATATTAAAGATCACTTAATTATACAATGATACACCGAGTTTAATCAAAATCGTTAGAGCCGTTTTTGAGAAAACTGTGAAAATGTGTTTCAGCGTTGATATAAGTGGCACCGGTTCCGGTTAGCCGATTTTAAGAAAAAAGTTGCCGTCACAACTAAGGCATATACCTATCTTAAATACGTGATATCAGTTTCATAGGACTTTTCGTTTTTGAGCTAGACTGCTAACATACAAACACACAGACCATTTGTCGGGACTTGGTCATTTCGACTCAGGGTACCTCAAAACGTATAAATCCGTCGAAAACTCAGATTCAAAAATTTTCTCGATCTCAATACTTACACTTACTATATATTACATATATACCTAAGTGAAAGTAAAAAGTTATGAATAAACATCAAATATAGTTGCAGTGGAGCTGAAGTTTGAGTGCAGTGGGAGACAAAGAAGTGAATAACCTGTGTGATCAAATACTCGCTTTTCAGGCAAATTTCATACAAATTTTCATTTCAAGTATTGTTTCTCTACATTTTGGAAAAATACTTTGATTTGATTCATGGTTATGGGAGTGATAAGAGAGGTTTCAAATTTTCTACGAAACGAAAAAGAATCTTCGAAATAGTACCATTCTTAGCCAATAGTGATAAGCAATAGTGATAAGCCAATAGTGATAAGCAGGATAGGATCCACCCTAACCAGGGATTCTTCCCACCGTCCAAGATAGTCTCAAGAAGATCTGAGTCCACCCTGATTATTGAGTCTCGCAGACTCTCACAGGACATCGATGGGTCCGGGGGAAACTGGCTGACCATGGGAAGGTCTTACAAAAAAAAGTGGCCGAACTGTCCTAAAATAGCGTTTAAACATGGCGAATTAATGTATTTGACTTAAGTTAGCTTTTCGGTCCCTGAGATTCAAAATTTGGCTTAATTCCTTCATAACTGACCTTTAATAAAGCTGGATAATTAAATAATAATAAAACATGAAAAAATATAGAAACATTACTGTGCTTGGAAATAAAAAACACCCGTAAATTCATTTTTTTCAAGTCGCCCAAACTAAAATTGAAAATAAAGCATCATTTGTAAATGAAAGACCAACAATAACGAAAAACACTTTCAAATAAAACATTTGGAGAATACATTTCTTTTTCTAAAACACTGATTACATTTTAAGATATATGAAGTAGTCACTTAGAAAATACAAATAATCGGCGGAAAGCGGTACTGGCATAGATGACTTGAATCCTCTACATCATTCAGTACGCTTAAATGGCAAAATAACGTTATAATAAGGTTTCTAGTAAATTATTTTCATTGTATTGACGAACGAATATTAATACAATAATTTAATTGCACAAAAGATTGTTTTTACTTATCCACATATTCTTGTAAAGCACTGTAACTATGCCATTTATAAGCATTCAATCATGTGGCATTAAAATTAACGATTTTTATTTAACTAGTTAAGTTTAGAAAAATATGTTTCCTATAAAAGCTGAAGTAAATTGTTTGTATTTTAATATTTAATTTAAAAATTTGAGCTAAGTCGCCCATAAAAATGCTTGGATGGCTTCTTTCCATAATGAGCTACCTAAGACATATTTTCCCGTAGACTGTGACCCATCGTGGATCCCTCCACTTCTTTATCCCAGGTCTTCCTCGTCTTCTTCTTTCCCTAGTTTTCCATTAGTGGATTTCCACTTTGACGTGGTGGGGAGGCTTTAGTATCATGAAGACCCTGAGAGCTATGCCGATAGGACCATCCATGTCGGAGTGGTCTTAGAGGAGTGAGTGGACCATGTACTAATCCCCAAGTTGGGGATACTAGCTCCCCAATCAAGGGAAATGATTTGCTAAAAAAAAATAACTAAATGTTTTTTGCGAATTTTTAAAAGTTTGTCGATTTTGAAAGCTCGATAGTTCTCTCTGTAGTTTTTTTCCTCTTGGGTTTAGAAAAAAATGTTGGATAATTTTAAGTTGTTTAAGATTAAACCGTCTTTTATCTATCTCCTTTAAAAATGGTTTCTGGAGTACTGCACCCAACACTCAAGGCTTCCAAGGACCAAAATCCGATTTTTTTTATATTTACTACATTCCTAACGATATAAAAAAAGGATTTTGAATCACCCGAACTTTTGCAAGATAGACCCCTATTTTGTTCTAATTCTTTTTTTCTTTTTTTTTTTTTGTTATTTCCTAATGATGATAATGATACAGCTCTATAAAAGAAATATATTTAGTAAATTTGAACATATGGATATAATGAAAAGACTTGTTGAGAAACTACCGAATGGTAGCACTCTAATGTTATTTATGTCTACATTAGGAGATCACGGCGCCCTTCTTTTCAGACGATTCGGAGAATTATCAGGAATTGAAGAGGAAGCAAGGTTAGAAACGAGAGGGTTGGGATGATTCTGGAGTTTACTATGGAAGGATAGGTATCTGGATTGGGCCAGATCTCAAAAATTAAATTAATAGATGGTTTTATTTGTAACAAAGTAGGGAGGATTGAGGTTGTTCTAATTTGACTGGGCTATTAAGTGGTAAATTATAATGGATCAAAAATAAACACAAATATTATGTCAACATTAAAAATAGCCAGAGCAGGTTAGTTTGCGTCATAAATACAAAAACAACGAAAAGAAAGATTAGGAAATCGATACAAGACTGCCACATTCATTCCATTGTTGGTTCAGTTCAACATAGGATAAGAAAGGAACGTATAATATAGAAAAACAGACATGTTTACTGTAAGACCATACCAGCAGAACATCGGTAAGGTAAAACTGATGCTCAATGATATCTTCAAGGTCTCCAGAGTGATAGGAACGTTCCCGATCGACTCGGAATATTCGGGCATCTCCAGATATAACCTCGCTGGAGGCGTATTCTTGTACGTAATAGGGAGTGGCGCTATAACTGTGATAACTCATTGTATGCCAAACGATGATGTAGCGCTGCCATCGAGAATTCTTTTCATCTTTGAAATTACTCCCATCATCTTCTTCCATTCGATAAATTTACTTTGGCTCGTTGTGAACAGAGGGCTGATGAAAGAATTATACGACGAGTTGATGGATCTCGAATACCAACTTTGGAAGAGAGGTATCGATTGGTCATACAATCCAAGTCGGTGTCTTAAATATCTTGGTCCTATTGCTATGGCATTTTTCGGTATTTATTGGGAGATATTTTACACAAAATGGAAAAATATTGAATTCCGCATACCGCAACATATAATCTATCCTCCTCTTATCAGTGTTACAAGTCAGTACTTGGCCTTACTCCAGGTTTGCCATTCCTTATTGAAGGTGATAAGGACAATTGAAGAAAGCGGGACTGTTATAAAGTTGACTGATAAAGTATTGACTGCATTGCAAAAGGTGAACACACTTTACGAACCACAGCTGCTGACTTACATCTCCAATTTATTTGTTGTTATCCTGGTATTGGCTTATTCGAAAATCAACATGTCCTCGCCTTTTTCTTTAGGAACTGTTTGCTGGGTTTGGAACTACGTCTTTCCACTTCTGCTGGTGACGATGTATTCTGGATATATTTCTGAGGAGGTAGATCAATTCAATAAATTTATAAAATATTTTTGGTAATATATATTTGTTCAATAAATATTTGGTTAGCTGCAAAAATGGCAATACTACTGGTGATATAAATATAGATGGTAATATGTTTGAACAGGTAGATAAGTTTAGGTATCTAGGTTCTACGATAACTAGAAACGAAATTGAAGAAGAGATTAAGGTTAGACTGAAGGCGGGAAATGCTTGCTATTTTTCTGTGACAAAACTACTTAGTTCGCGCCTCTTGTCCCGAAACTTAAAAATTAGAATCTATAAAACAATTATGTTGCCTACAGTTCTTTATGGGTGCGAAACTTGGCCGCTTACATTAAGGGGTGAGCAGCGTCTTAAGGTTTTTGAATATAAAGTATTGCGTAGAATATTCGGACCGAAGAAGGATGAGTTAACCGGAGAGTTCAGACGGTTACACAACGCCGAATTGCGTGAGATGTATCCGGGTAATATAATTGAGGTAATTTCATCGCGGCGAATCAAATGGGCTTGTAAAGTTGTTGTGCTTAGTAACGAGAGAATTCCTAAAAGGTTAATATTTGCTGTGCCGAATGGTAAGCGTCCGAGCGGTAGACCGAAGCGAAGGTGGGAAGATTGCATTAAAGCCGATCTGAAGGGACTGGGTTTGGACGGCGAACGATGGAGGGAGGTGTGCAATAAGCGATTGGTGGTGTCGGCATCGAACCTTCGGGTTCGCTAAGCCTTTTTATTATTATTTATTATTATATTTGATCAATAATTTAATAAAAAAAAGTCTGCCAAGGAAGTCAGTATAGCTTCATCACCGTTGGATTGGCTAAAAAATATCTATATTACAAAGTCTAACATTTTTCGTATTAGAACAAAATCTCTGGGAGAAGCCTTTTTCGGAAATACAGTAATCTCTCAACATAGACGGGTTTGATATCCACGAGTTTTATTCATCAGCGAATACTAAAATACCAAAATGATCCGGATATGTAGATTCCATATTTGCTGATTATTGCTTAAAAAAAAAAATAGTTCAGTGCGAACTGAACATGAATATAACTACTGTTAGTGCAAAAGATCGTACGTAAACATTGAGTGTTTTAGAAATAGAAATCATAAAATGTGATCGTTTCTTTATGATTTATTAATATAATTTCATAACTTATTGCCCTCTGCTATTTTTCTGCTATTATGTCAGTTGCAGAATACAAAATCTCACCTTTAGCACAAATAGAATTAAAAGTTGAAAATTTTTACATACGATCTTTTGCACTAACATTAGTAATATTTACTTAATCGGCACGTTTTCACACCAAAAATAGATGTAACAAAACATCCATAAGAAAAATTGTTTTGTTCAGAGTTAACAAGACCAATACTTTTCTACAGTCAAAACAAAACTATTTAAGCTGGAATTCAAAAATATATGTAAAAATCACATAGAAACTCGACACCACGACGATCTGGTTGAACATCAAAAAAAAAAATAAATAAAAAGAAAAAAAACACAATCACAAATAAGATTATTCATTTTTTTTTAACTCAGAGTAAAATTTTTTTTTTTTTTTTTTTTTTTTTTTTTTTTATTATTTCAATGGAATTTACAACTGTATTACATAGAGAATACAATAAGTAAATGAGAAATTTGTAACATGGCATGTACAACATGAAGAGAAACTACCCATTGGTAGAACTCAAATTAAAGTTCTATATTAGAAGATCCCGAGGCCATCTTCTTTTCAGACGCCTCGGAGGGTTATCAGGGATCGAGGAGGAAGCAAGGTTTGAAACGAGAGGATTCGGATGATTCTGCAGTTTGTTATGGAAGGAAAGGTATCTGGATTGGGCCAGATCGGAAACATATGGAACATTAAGGTCTTTATGGATGATTTTATTTGTGACAAAGTAAGGAGCGTTGAGGATTTTACGAAGGATTTTGGATTGTAAGGATTGGATACGAGAGGAATTCGATGGTTTAGTGGAGCCCCAGAGCTCAATTCCGTAAGTCCAAATAGGTCTTATTATTGTCATATATACGAGTCGTTTATAATTGATTGAAAGCTTAGATCGTTTGTCTAGTAAGTGCTGCAGTAGTCGAAAACGTCGGGCGGTTTCTAGTCGTTTCAGTCTGGTATGGGGGTTCAGAGTAAAAATAAATTTAAATTTATTGAAAATTACAAGAAATATAAGTAACTGCAATAAGCATCATGAAACGTTTCGAATCGACGAAACAATACAGTATAAATTAACTCTTTCTATAAAACCTAAAATTTTATAACCTAATAAAAATATCGTTTTAACCTAACATCCACTCCATATGATCAGTGCCTTTTACATTTCACTGCCATTATATTGTTATCAATTATTTATATTAATTGTAATTATTAAATGGAAATCAATGATCATACCAGGTAATTTCTATACTAGTCTCCAAATTTCCTCCAAAATCAGATTAACGATGATGTAATTGAGTTCTAGGTCGTATGTTGTATATATAAAATTTAAAAAAAATGAGATGTACTTACACAACAAAAGAAATGTTCGTTAAATTTCTAATTACATGAAGCACATCGAGAAAAAATAAAAATAAAATATAGAGGCTTTAATATAGGGGCATAAGTAAAATGTACGAATGTCTATGTACTTTGAATTGATTGAAGGTCCATAAAGGTACAAGAATAGCTGATAAACTATAAAAATATAAATCGATATACAGTCTGGTATAAAAAATTGTTAGTCTTAATTAGAAAAGATGCCGAAGCGAGGAGCTTTCTTAAGCATTGACCATAATAATATATTCGGAATATAAAGAGACATTTCCAAAACGTCCAATAACAAATTAAAAACGTAAAGTAAGACGAAAAAACAAAAGCTTTACGATAAACATAAGTGTTTATATTCCGGTAACCATGGAGTAAGGGATGCCGTGTTCCAGTTATTAATTTAAGTGATACATTTTATTGGATCAGAAATAAACACAAATATTATGTCAACGATAGAAATAGCCACCGAAAACAACAAAAAAAAGGTAGAAATCGATACATGGCACCTTTATTCTCTTGTTTGTCCAGTTCAACCTAGCATACGAAAGGAACTTATAATATAAAAGCAGCATGTTAACTTTAAGACCATACCAGCAGAACATCGGCAAGGTAAAACTGATGCTCAATGATATCTTCAAGGTCTCCAGAGTGATAGGAACGTTCCCGATCGACTCGGAATATTCGGGCATCTCCAAATATAACCTCGCTGGAGGAGTAATCTTTTACGTATTAGGGAGTAGCATTGTAATTGTGTTAGCTCATTGTATGCCGAACGATGACGTAGTACTGAAATTAAAAGCTCTTTACATCTTTCAGGCTATACCCATCATCATCTTCCATTCGATAAATTTACTTTGGCTCGTTGTGAACAGACGGCTCATGAAAGAAATATACGAAGAACTGACAGAAATCGAAAGCCAACTTTGTAACAGAGGTATCGATTGGTCATACAATCCAAGTTGGTGCCTTAAATACCTTGGTTTAATAACAATGGAATTATGTTATATTTCGTGGGAGGTATTTTACATGAAATGGAGAAACGTCGAATTTCGCATTCCGCATCACATGATCTATCCTCCCGTGTTCAGTATTACAAGTCAGTATTTGGCGTTACTGCAGCTCTGCCATTCGATATTGAAGTTGATAAGGATAATTGAAGAAAGTGGGACTGTTATAAAGTTGACTGATAAAGTATTAGCTGTATTGGAGAAAGTGAACATACTTTACGAACCACAGCTGCTGACTTATATTTCTAGTTTATTTGTTGTTATCCTGGTTTTTAGTTATGTGAAAATCGTCCTAAACTCACCACTTTATGTAGGAACTGTTTCTTGGGTAGTGACCTACATCTTCCCACTTCTGCTGATAACACTGTATTCAGAATATATTTCCAAGGAGGTATATCAATTCAATAAATTTAAAAATATATATATTTTTTCGGTTTGCACTATATTTGTGGTCTTCTAATAGTCGTATGTTTTGTAGCTTGGAGGGGGTCAACCAAACTCACAATGCTATGAACCCCAGCTCCATATCCGATAAAATTGGCCTCACTCGGTTCAAGTACAGTGATAAATCGGTCTAGATTCATGTATCATGGCTGCTCAGGACCTACATTTTTCTCCTAAATAGATCGAACATGGACCAGACTTCGGGTTTTTTCATCGGGCGTACATTCAGCTCTTCCTTAATTTTGTTATTCCGGATATAGTCTGATATAAAAAAAAACAAAAAAACCTGATGTAATGATGTCCCGAATGGCGCCCAAACATAGCGAACTAACGAATTTAACTTTAGCGTTTAAACCCTGGCTTATAGGATTTGGCATAGATTTTAGTGCTCATATGCTAATCATAATACATACAATAAGTATTGAAAAATCAATAGAATTGACTCATCAATTATCACTTTTTTGAAAACAAACTTTATTGAAATGTGGTCTTAGGTCTTAGGTGTAATAGTTAAGACAAATTAGTCTTAGTTATATTTTTAAAAGAAGATGAAAAAGCCAACTTCTAAAACATTTATTTATAATAAAAATTTGTAAATTACATTACCTACATAAAAAGTAAATTTTAATTGATATTAATTCATACTGGTGGAGAAACAGCTATCTAAATATAATATAGTTAGACGTTGTAGTCTTAGTCATTATTTCTCATTTTCAAGCTGTCAGTTAGTTTGTTCCATTTGTGTGATTTTCTTGAAATTATGAATGTTATTACATTTTGGGAATTTTTATAAAAGACAAAATCATTTAGGGAGAATTCTACCTGAACAATATATGTTTGCCGGAGTTTTTCGAGAAACAGACGAGGGTTTCATCGTTAATAACAAAAAAAAAATTAAAAATAAGTGATGTATATATTCTGGTAACCAAGGAGTAAAGGTTGCTATGTTACTGGTATTAATTTAAGTAGGGAGTTATAATGGATTAGAAATTAACACACATATTATGTTAGCCATAGAAATAACCAAAGCAAGATAGTTTACGTCAGAAATACAATAACAAAAAGGAAAATAGAAATCGATACTTCAACTTTCATTCCATTGTTTGTTCGGTTCAACCCAGGATAAGGAACTTATAATATAAAAGCGTATAAGTTAATAATGACACCCTACCAGCAGGCAATAGCCAATAGACAAGTTTAGGGGATGGATAAGTTTAGCCAAGGGCCTTTAAGCTATAAGGTTCTTATTTTATAAATTAATAAGAAAATGGAAAAAATAACGTGTTGCCAACCCACCATCGGTAAGGTACAACTGATGCTAAATGAGGTCTTCAAGCTCTCCAGGGCGATAGGAACGTTCCCGATCGACTCGGATAACTTCGGTATCTCCAAACATAACTTCACTAAAGGAGTAGTCTTATATGTCTTAGCGAGTAGTTTTATAACTGTGCTGTCTAATTGTGAATTACAAGTTGACATATTATTCCAAGAAAAAAATCTTTACATCTTTGAAATTATTCCCATCGTCATCTTTCATTCGATAAATTTAATTTGGCTTGTTGGGAACAGACAGCTAATGAAAGAAATATACGAAGAACTGGAGGATATCGAATACCAACTTTGGAAGAACAGCATCGATTGGTCATACAATCCAAGTTGCCTTCTTAAATACCTTGGTTATATTGCCATGATAATTTTTGGAATTTCGTGGGAGCTATTTTACATGAATGGAAAAAACATTGAATTTCGCATTCCGCATCACATTATCTATCCTCCTATTTTCAGTATTACAAGTCAGTATTTGGCGTTACTGCAGCTCTGCCATTCGATATTGAAAGTGATAAGGAATATTGAAGAAAGTGGGACTGTTATAAAGTTGACTGATAAAGTATTAGCTGTATTGGAGAAAGTGAACATACTTTACGAACCACAGCTGCTGACTTACATATCCAATTTATTTGTTGTTATCCTGGTTTTGAGTTATGTGAAAATCATCCTAAACTCACCAGTTTATGTAGGAACTGTTTCTTGGGTAGTGAACTACATCTTCCCACTTCTGCTGATAACGCTGTTTTCAGGATATATTTCCAAAGAGGTAGATAAATTCAATAAATTTATAAAATATTTCTTTTAATATATATTTATTTCAAATACATGTATATATATATATATTTAGGTTAGTAATGTGTTTGTGGTCTTTTTATAGTCGTATGTTACTTACGGATAGCATAGAGGGGATCAACCAACCTCGAAATTCTACGGACCCTAGCTTCATAGGTGATCAATTGGAACGGTACTTTCCAGCCCCTCACTCGGTCCAAGGACAGGTGCAAAAGGACCTAAATTTCTTTCCTGGAAATAGACCATACATCGACCAAACATCGTGAAAGGGGGGGGGGTTGTAATCGGGCCAACATTCAGCACTTCCTTAATCCTGTTATTTTGAACATAGTTTGAAATTAAAAAAAAAAACTGATGCGACGCTGTCCCAAAATGGCGCCCAAACATAGCGAACTAACTAATTTAACTTTAGTGTTTAGTCACTGACTTACAGGTCAGACTTTTAATGATCTTAAGTTAAAGCTGAATATTTATAAAAACATAAAACATATAATAAATAATTAACTAATAATACATTTGACTCATCAATTAAATTGTCTTTACACAGTCTCATATATTCTGATATTACAATTTTTAGAAATGTACCTTTTATCGTATTCTGGATATTTTTCTTGTCTTGTCATTATACCCTATTTCTTTTTTTCATATCTTAAGCATTTTTTGTGATATTTTATGTTCGTTGTCTTGGTTTTTCCACAGCTCAGATGATAGCTTGAAACTAATTTTTCTCTCGAACTTTTAAGTTTTAAGAAACTTCAATAACTTTAGAACCGAAAACTTCAAAGTTACCAGATTAACGATGAACGTAAAGTAGATTTGAATTGTACGTTATTTATAAAAACAAGCAAAGAAAAAAAAATAATATGTACATACAAAACAAAACAAACGTTCTTTGAATTTCTAATTATCAACGCAATATCTGAATAAATACATGAAACACAGCGGCATTGGTTAACAACGCCAAAAGAGTCAACCCTTAGGAAATACTTCCCCACTGTTGATTCAAGAGTGAAAACTTCAAATCTCCTCTCGGACTATTGGGTCTCACAATTCCTCACCGGACATGGGGATTTCCGAGCAAAGTTTGTTAAACATAAGAACATCGATCTCCAATGCACAAGTTGTAGATTACCGGAGACCGTCGAGCATATATTACTTGCCCGTATCACCTGGGAGGCAATGAGGGCCAAGATGCTGAGGGAGACAGGGCTCAACGTCCTATCGTAGCGCGATCTACCTCAGCTAATGACTAAGGAGAACTACCCGCATTACAAAGCCTTGTTTACTTTACTATGCCAATCCCTTCCAAGGCTGTCAGGGATATTGTCATAATAATTCTGCTTTAAGAGCTGATGTTAATTTATTGCTGTGGACTGTAAAATTAGAGGAGTTAACGGATTAAAGAAGTGAATATTTAAAATTGATTGCTAAATTTTATTACATGTAATTTTATACGGAGGTTAAATATAGGTGGGTTGGGATACTTGCATTTTCTCTTTTCTTCTAGTTGCCAGTCTTCTTGTTCATCTTCCTTCCTTTCTTGGCCCCTTGCCGGCCGCTGTAGTGTTTTACTCCATGTTTAATAAATCAGTGGAATCACAAAATTTTCAACTGGCCAGTCTAGTCAATCACTCTGCTACGTGAGCGTCTACGCTTCAACAATGGCGGCGTCACAACAATGACTGAGGCATACATGCAGCATTTCCGAGATAACAGCTGTGATATGCTTACTTGATTTGATTCAAATATAAATTTTGATGTGTTCCCTAAACAAGCCGCCCACCTTCTATTGTTTACAACAGTGGTTTTATTAACATGTGTCCCTTTTTATACGGATGGAAAGATGTACTTTGTCCAGTCCATTTCTACTTGGGCAGAAGAGAGAAAACTACGCCAAAGAGGATAAAAGAGCCAATGTGAGAAAGATGTACAGCTTGAGTGAATGATAGAGAAAAAAATCTAATTGGTTTTATTGCAGTATTGAATAGTTATGGATGCATGTGTAGGTATCCACTGCAGAAAACATTCTTATTGCCTAAATGGCAGTGAAGAGTTTTAAATATATAATATATATAATCACGAATATAAACATGAAACACATTGATGGAAAAAATAAAAGTAAAACCCTAAGTTAGTTAGGATTGGAGACCAAAAAATACTTATTTTTTCGGCTTTACTATAGCTGCATAAAAAAAAGTACAAATATCAGTCTATTTTAATGGCTGGTATGTGCATGAAGAGTCTATTTAAGAATATTCAAGAAACTAAAAACTGTCTGCCGAATAAAGTCAGTATAGCTTCCTCATCGTTTTCATTGGATAAAAAATATCTATATTACAAGAGGTAACATTTTTCGTACGAGAATAAAATCTTTCGGAGAATTGTTTTTGGAAATTTAGTAATCTCTCAACACAAACGGGTTTGATATTAACGAGTTTTGTTCATTTAATACTAAAATGTGAAAGAGTTCTGCATTTGCAGATTTCATATTTGATGTATCGTGATTGAAAACAAAATCCAGTGCATACTGAACATTAATATCGCAACTGTTAGTGCAAAAGATGGTATGTAAAAATTGAATGTTTTACAGGAGAGCATAAGAAGTAAAACTTAATTTAAATTTACTGAAAATTACAAGAATTTTAAGTAACGGCAGTAAGTGCCATTACAGTAACGTTTGGAATCGACCAAACAATAAATTATAAATTAAGTTTCTGAATAAAATCTAAAATTGTATAACCTCATAAATATATCGTCACATTTCACAACCATTATATTGTTAATAATTATTTATATATATATATTTTTTTTCTTGTCTTCATATTTCCACACCTGTCATGAGCTTAACAATAAGCAGATGTGCTGTAACTAATTATTTATATTAATTTTAATTATTAAATGGAATCCAAGAAAATTGATACCAAATTTCTATACTGTTCTCCAAATTTCCTCCAAGTTTAGGTCAAATCTAACACGCAGTATTCAAACTATAATAATAAATAAATTTCCTGATCTTAAAGCTATCTTTTTTTTTTCTTTGAATTTGATAAAATTCATATATACTTCATTATCTTTTTACCAATCCCCAACTAAACTCCAAATTTGATCCAGATCGATCGGGCGGAATTAGTGACATAGCCGTATCAAGGAAAACACGTTTGCTCATATATAAGAGAAAGTAGAGAACACAATTAAATAAAACTGATACTACATAATTTTTCCATCAATATCTACCTTATATCTAACTTTGAGCCAAATCGAACGAGCTGTTTCTGAGATATTGTAATCTCTAAAAAATATATTTGCGTGCGCCTAAGCGAAAGTGCTAAATGGACTTTGATAAAATTAATATGGAACCATCTAGACACCAACCCGTAAAATCCCAGAAAATTTCATGAAAATTCGATTACTAGGAGATATCTCTGTCATATCGATTTGACTACAGACAGACCGACAGACAGAGATACCGAACTTAAAATGCAAGTGGAAATTTTCTATTCTGAGCAAATAATTTTTTTAACCTCTCCCACGAATATAACGCTTCCCTACCTTCTGTAGTGAGGAAGCAAAATGTTGAATCGATGTACGAGTCGTTCATTTCCAAAGTGAAACCTAATCAAGATTTTAATTTTTTCAGGAATCGCTAACTAGTATATTTTGTATTCCAACTGTAATATCAATACCAATATTTTTTAAATAAGAAATTGCTTAATAAGACAATACTCCTTATGATACCGTATTTTCAGATCGATGTACAATAGAAATACGTCTACAAGCAAATTAAGATCGTATAGCAAAACGAAAATAATATGTACGAATTCCGGTACAGGTATTAATTTAAGTGCTGAATTATAATGGATCGAAAATAAAGACAAATATTATGTCAACGATAAAAATAGCCAGAGCAGGAAATGTTGCGTAAAACAACAACTACTAAGAAATCGAAACAAGACTGGCACATTCATTCCATTGTTGGTTCAGTTCAACCTAGGATACGAAAGGAACTTATAATATAAAAGTAGCCATGTTAAGAATGAGACGTTACGAACAGAACATCGATAAAGTAAAACTGATGCTCAATGATGTATTCAAGCTCTCCAGAGTGATAGGAACGTTCCCGATCGACTCGGAATATTCGGGTATCTCCAAATATAACCTCGCTGGGGGAGTAATCTTTTACGTATTAGGGAGTATCATTCTAACTGTGTCAGCTCACTGTGTACTACGCGATGACGAAATACTGCATTCAAGAATTCTTTACATCTTTGAGATCACACCCATCATCATCTTCCATTCGATTAATTTACTTTGGCTCGTTGTGAACAGACGGCTCATGAAGCAAATATACGACGAGCTGATGGAAATCGAAAGTCAACTTTGTAACAGAGGTATCGATTGGTCATATAATCCAAGTTGGCGCATTAAATACCTTGGTTTAATAACAATGGCATTATGTTATATTTTGTGGGAGGTATTTTACATGAAATGGAGAAACGTCGGATTACGCATTCCGCATCACATGATCTATCCTCCCGTTTTCAGTATTACAAGTCAGTACGTGGCGTTACTGCAGCTCTGCCATTCGATATTGAAGTTGATAAGGATAATTGAAGAAAGTGGGGCTGTTATAAATTTGACTGATAAAGTATTAGCTGTATTGGAGAAAGTGAACAAACTTTACGAACCACAGCTGCTTACTTATATTTCCAATTTATTTGTTACTGTCCTGGTATTAGCTTATTTGAAAACCCTTCTAAACTCACCAATTCATACATTAACTGTTTGTTGGGCAGCGATCTATGTCTTTCCACTTCTGCTGATAACGCTCTATTCAAAATATATTTCCAAGGAGGTAGATCAATTCAATAGATATATAAAATATATCTTGTCATATAGATTTATTTTAAATATATATATATCACATTTCCAATGTAATCCTGCTCCTTCAATTCAAATCCTCTGTTCGTTCCTGCAATACTCGTTCCCAGTTTTCTCATTTATGCATATGGGCCCACCGATTCGCTGCTTTCGACAGATCTTTCATTATCCGATCCTCATCCCTTTGGAACTCCATCCCCTCTCACATTCGTCGATCCAATACCCTTCCTACCTTTAAATCCCGCCTGTTCAATCATTTCTTATCCATCTAATCCCCATGAAAATGTAAATATGTATATAAATTATTAGTTCGTTATTCATTATTTTTACTTCATCCTATTTTTTTTCTATTTTTATTTTTTATTATTAACTGATTAAAATTAGAAAGTAACTTATAATTTTTCATTTTTCTACTATGACTGTTTAATTACTCTGTATTTTTGTTTATGTATCTTTAAGGCTCCTTAGCCCATATTTATGTTTTTCTGTATTATTCTAAAGGGATTCGTCCCAGAATAAATAAAGTATTATTATTATCATATTGCGGTTGTCACTATGGATCATGTAGAGATTTAGCTTGTGGGAACTGGATAGTCTTGAGGGGATCAACCGACCTCACAATGCTATTAACCATACCATGAACCTTTGGGGTCACAATTTGGCAGGGTCCTTCCAACCGACTCAGTCGAGTTCGAGGTCAGTGACGAAACGGTTTAGATCCATGGATTTGTTTCTCATGGATCCATGGGTGTTTTCCCTACCATTCTCCTAAGGAACTTCATTTCGGCGGCAGTGACATGGCTTAGAAGTCTCTCATTCAGAATCTGCCTCTCTTCTCTCTATGGTTGGAAGACAGACTTGAAAAGTAGTGCTTTACGTTCTGTCTCTAGTCTATTTTTCCGATAACAGGAATCCATGTATAACGTGGAATTAGCTTTAGACATTCTTATTAAAAGTCATTGAGTAAGGTTTCATTAAATAAATCTTTAAATAAACCCATAAATAATTAATAAGACATATATTTTTGACAGAACGAATTTGCTATCTACAGCTGCATTTGAGGTTTCCTATGAATTAACCTGACACATGGGTGAACCGGACCTCACTTGTGTGGGGTTGGACAATTTAACAAAAAACTGTGTGTTTTTGGGTTTTTTTTTTCTCTTAGACCGAACACTGACATGGAACCCACATACAAGTAACATGTGGGACTCAAAAGACAAGAACTCAACCGGCGATATGGCCAGCTATATAGACTACTGAACAAAATATCTCAACTTTCAATTGGCAACAAACTGCTGATCTACAAGACAATACAAAAACCTATTTGGAACTGTGGGGGAAAGCAACATTTTTTAACATCAAACGCATTCAATCCTTTCAGTCCAAAGTCCTTCGAACAATAGTTGATGCTCCGTTTTATGTAACCAACCAAACCCTACATCATGACCTTAATATCCCATTTGTCCTAGATCTTATCCCTCAAAAATTTTCCAAATTGCACCAAAACCTTACATATCATCCAAATCCAATTACACAATCCCTATCTAGCTCCAGCCATCCATACAATCCTCCTCGAAGGTTGAAGCGGCAGTGACCCAGAGACTTGTTGTAAGAATATATAGGAGTTATGGCAATGGCCAGATTCTCCACTCAAGCCATGTATGTCTGGTTTATTTATTTTGTTATTACTTTAGTATTATTATATTGAATTTTATTATTTTTATTTATTGTGCATAGTATGAATGAGCTACTCTACTACTATTGTCCTACTACTACACTATACTACTACACTATTACTATTGACCTTGAATGTGACAGATTGTAATAAAAAAAATAATAATAATAAAAAATGCATTAAGCTAATATGAAGACGATATAAATCGATTGCTGATATCGAGGAGGACGGAACAAAGACAAAAAAAATGATAATATTAAATAATAAAATAAAACCAAGCTAGAAAGAATTTTAAAACTGGTTAAGAAAAAAATAAGAGTAAATTACAAAACTGTAATAGTTGTGTAGTTGTGATAAAAGGAATGCAGGGTCAATGGGTAACATAAAAATGAGCATCTACAATTTTCATGGGTGATGAATATTCAGGACGCAGTCTTTTTAAATTTTTTTTTTGTCTTTTCCAACGTTGAGTACATGAACAACCTCAGTGCTCAAACCACGCCCTGAAGATGATTCCCATAGCTCGCGATACCACATATCCAAAGTGGTATAATGAGTATAATATACACCGATAATTTTGAACATCAACTAGCTTAGAAAGAATAGTTTTTTTTAATAATAAGTTAAAGTTTTTATATTATACGATTCACTATATAAAATAATGATTATTGATGTTTTAACAGGTAAAGATGATTAACAAGATGTTGTACAGAAGATTATTGTATAATTTTGATGATGTAAGCAGATATGTTGTATAATACAAACAGTTATAATTATTTACATAATAACGTTTTACTTTTAACATAAAATAATAATGTAATATTTTAATTTTCAGGAAACGTTATATTTTCATTTAGTGGCTAAAAGAGATTTAGTTTTTACTGTTTGTGGATTTTTTAATTTAGAGACTACGCTCATTTTTTCGGTAAGTTGTTTAATTAAATTTTAATAATCATATTAAAATTTAAAACATATTAGGACAGTCAATATGATATTTCATAAATGTATGAATGAATAAATGTTTGCGTAAAAAAATATCTGGTGTGTCCACTCACACGACTTTCCTACCTATTTCAGAAAAGTTTTTATATCTTTACATATGTTCATGAAGAAACAAAAAAGAATTGAACTAGATACATTTTCCAGAAAATTGATCAAACATAAGATTTGAGTACGATTTATTTGATAAACTAAAGAAATGTATCATAGCAATAGAATAAGCTGTATCATCGCTAATACTGGTTCGATTCCGATTATTGTTTTTTTTGTTTTGGTGGTAATCCAATTACCTTTCAAAAGTTTTATTATAAATTTTATCGTATAATATATACTTATGGAGTTAGGCCCCATAACTTTTTTCTTTTCTTTATAACTTTTTTTCCTGAATTTTTTCGGGAATTTAGTCTATTTACAAAAATTGAAAGAACAATGGTTGGAACATTATAGGAAAGTTTTATCAAAATCGTTAGAGCCGTTTTTGCGCTACAGTCTATAGAAAAACAGGTTTTTCATTTATTGCGCGCAAGCTATTGCGCATGGAGCACCGATTTTCTGTCACAGCCACCCTACAAAAAAAAAAAAACCGTAATCTTACATTGAAAATTGAATAGCTGTAACTTCGTTAATAGTTATCCAAAATGAATGATTTGTATATGGCTTTGTAGGGAACGTATATGGCTTTCATTACCTATCAAACGACAGACAGACAGACCAATGGCTAAAAATATGTTTTTCGGACTCAGGGTGCTCTGAGTCATGTCGGAAATTTGATCCGATTGCAATACTTTCCTTACCTAGTATAGATAGAGAGGAAAGTAATAATGATCATTTTTTAAATAAATAAAGCATCTGGATTGTTAACAATGCAAATGTTACTAATTTACTTGAAGGAATTCTGTAGTTAACAATATTTAATTTTAAATATTTATACAGGATGTCCCGTAAGTAGAGGACAATATTTAAATTGTTGATAGTAGACATCAAGATCTACAAAAAAGTTCAAACAAATAAATGCCCGATTTCCAGCAGGAAAGTAGGAAATTTAAGGTTTTTTTAAGTGAGTCAAGTTTTTTGTTGAACAGAAAGCGATAATTTAAAAAATATTTTATTTAAGTAATTAAACATTGCTCCATAGTAAACTAGACAAAATTGAATTTAAATGTTAAGTAAACGTATATAGTTCTAAGCATTTTTTATATAGTTTGGTTTTGTATATTCTGTTAGTTTACATAACGTAGTTTATTTATTTAACGTAGTTTATCTATTCTTATTTAGTTCTCTTGGCCAGTATAACTATCTTTAACTTTTATTAAACTGAAAATTACCATTCTCTTTGCGCAATTCTGTATAATAATAATAATTATATAATAACAGTTGTCGTTTTATAAAATAATATTTTAATTGTTTCAGATGGTTACGACAGGATTGGATTATTTAATTTTTTTAATCAAATATATGTGAGACAAATTGAAAAAGAAAAGGAAGTACTATGAATCCATAATCATGGATTTGTTATTAATATCATAATAATACTGTATAAATATCTCTTGTAGCTTATTTTTTAAATGTTAAAGTTTATTATGTTAATATGCTAACAATATTTGTACCATAGATGCAACATTATATCTGCCATATTGTTTGGCTTGACTGAGAGGTGAATATATTGGGTGTATCCATAAGTTCGTTCGGTTTTTGAAGGGTGAAATTAAACAAGTTTTTTTCATATAAAGAATAAATTTTACTCAATAATTTATTTTCTAAAATATTAGTTTTTATTAATGATCTCTTGCCTTCTTTCTAACATTTTCATTAGTCTGTTCTCGTAAAAAGTTCTAGATATATTCATTACGTTGTAGGACAAACAAAACTAATGCCGATGAAACCAAACACAACAGTTTCGAAGAGCGGACTTTGAACTTTACGATAAGTATCATTATTGTCAGATAAGGTAAAGACAACTGGAGCTATTTGAAAATGATACACACTATTTGTATTATACATATTGTATTATACTCTGTTTGTATTATAAATATCAGAATGTTTTTAATGTAATAGT